TGTCATGTTGGAAAAACCAGTCACCCGACTGCCACAAATCTGGCCGCTGAGCTCCAAGTCACTCCCGACAGCTCCACAATTTCTTCAATGGTCCGTCGTCGATCTTCCTTGATGATTTCAGGAATTTTTTCAACATTTTCATGTGTTCGGGCCGTGGAAGGACGACCAGAATGAGGTTTGTCATCAATTGACATTTCACCATTTTTGAAACGGGAAAATCACTCAAACACTTGAGTTTTCCCCATAGCATCGTCCTTGTACGCCGTTTTTAACATTTCAAGAGTTTCTGTTCCACTTTTCCCGAGCAAAAAGCAGAATTTCACCGCCGCACGCTGTTCACGAAAATCAGCCATTGCAAAAACGACGATCACACAAAACAGTTGTCACCATAAACTCTGCCGAAACTAGTCCTTACCTTCTGAAGCAACGGTAGTCAGCTTATCGACTCAGGAATGTTAGATCTATGCGCTCATAGCGGCAAAACGCGGTACTACAAAAGCTCTGCCCAAAAAAAAAAATTAGTTCGGTTTCTTTTGGGTACCCCATCGTACAACTAAACAGTGTAATTTTTAAGGTTCTCACGGCGGTGAGTATTTAGGTTGTGACACCGCGTAGTACCGTAGGGGCTGGATACAAACCTTTCGGAGGAATGTGCCATCTCCACATTCAGGGTCGACTTCGTGGGGAACATTAATATCAACTTACAGTACTGTACAATGTCACAACCAAGATGATGACATTCTGAAGTGATAAGCAGATGGAAGAGGCAAAGCTATCCCTGTAACAGGCCATGGAGGCCCATAGGGCTGTGAAACGTTGAGGCTCCAACATTTTCTAGTCAGCTCACAAATGGCAGTAAGGTTGTCAGCCTTATGCGCCGGCCGCCCTTTACCCTCAGGAAAATTCCTTGTACTCATTTATGTTAGAGACTCAGTCGACCCCAGGGTCATTATGCGGCTGGAAGTATTAGGTAAATTGAAAAACCCAGTGATGTCATAGGGAATGGAACCCGCAAACATCCGGTTTGTAGCGTAGTGCCTCACCCAACTACGCTACCACGTGCCCCCTGCGATAAACAGATACTTGTTACTATTACTTTGTGAGCTCTTGTGCTTAAAACGCTTTGGGATTAAAAATGTTGCGACACTGTGATTGAGAAACGCCTCTTAAGGGTACCGTGCAGCCGTTTTCCTGGAGTGAATGAGGAAACGCACGAGAATGTATTGGAGATGGAAGGAACCAAGGCCTGGATTGAAATCGGATACTGTCAGCGTGTCACAAGCGTTACCGCTGCATGAACTTGCTGGATTATTTATGTATGCTATTTCATTAGGCCTGTTATCTGAAGAGGCTCTTATGAACACGGTAATGAACTCTAGGGTTCCATAAAAGGCGGAGAATTTCTCTGCTTGCTTGGCGACTGTCGGTAGATAGACTTTGTACCACTGAATGAGGTGCTGATAAAGTGCACGAAATAGCTTGTTACCTTTCAGTGTATATATCCAGGTTTGGGATTAGTATCAAACCCTGGAACGCATTACCACATACATGGATGGCACGTTTTTCTAAGTTTTAATTCATGATCAGCCACTGGTTCGTACAGTCAGATGTCCATATGGGCCTACGTTACGTCCTCACAGCCTCTGTCTCCTGTCGGCCGTGATATGCATAAAGGAATTATTTTTGTAAAATCACTGAGGGCGTTACTGCAAGGCAAAATGAATCGAATTGCGACCTCTCTCCCCCTTGCCACTTCTCTTTGTGACGTCAGAGGTTCTCCCAACAGAGGCCGCCACCTGGGTTTTATGAACAGAAAATCTCCAACAATGAAACCTCGTAAAATTTCTTTTCTTAATATCAAGGTTTGCCACTTTAAGCTGAAGAGAATATCGGAGAGACCCATTCGCTGCACGAATGGAAGCAGGGACATCCCACGCGCCATTCCGGTTTGTTAGGAAGATTAGCCGTGTCGTGAGAGGCGGATTTATGTTGAATGGGATCATACACATTCTCCCATTTCGGTAAGTTATTTCTAAATGTCATGCCAGAATGTCGAAGTGAACGTATAATATAGCGAAAAATGTCTCCTAATCCCTGTCACGATTAGTCTTGTGAAGTGGTTTCTTGTCATCAGCGGCACTGAGCGTCCTTAGGTTGCGGATGGAGGGTAGCTGCTAGTATTATGAATGGACAGTGGATGGTCTTCCAGCATGGTGTTTAGAGGGGGCTAAGAACCCCTCACCCGAACATTTCCCCATACCAGATGCGGGCTCCTGTAAACATGCTTTGCATCCTGTTTTGTATGTCACTGATATGTAAATATGTCCGTCCATCACAGCAACTTTATGTTTCAGTAAATAGCTGATAGAATGAAATTGTCAGTCAGTCTGAGTAGTTTATTATGCTGACCATCATCAGGCGTTTATGAACAACAGAATGTATCCGCGCTCATGACTAACTTGCATGATGCAATGGATTCTTTGCCTTGTCATGTAAAAAATTTTTACGTAAGAATACGATGTTTAAATACACTAAAATACTTGGAGAACATTAGTAGTAAACCTTGTCCGAAATTATTATTATTATTATTATTATTATTATTATCATCATCATCATCATCTCTTGTCACAGGTTTATTTCCTGGGATTACTTTTCTTGAACCAGTGATGCACCTCACCACTCAGGCTTCAAGCTTCGCACTGTAGCACTTTCCGTAGTATGTGTGATGTTCCCAGGATAGCTGTTTTTTGCAGTGAATCTATGGAGTGCTTACCAGGAATTAATTCCAAATATTTTCTCAACCCTCTCGTGACTGTACCCGTGGCTCCAATAATTACTGGTATCACAAAACATTTCATGTTCCACATTCGCTGAATTTCGATGCTTAAATTTTTATATTTTAATTACTTCTCTGCTTGTTTTTGTACTACATTCCTATCCGATGGTACTGATACATCTATAAGTATGCAAGTTTTATTATTATTATTATTATGTTTAGTTTTTCTAAAAAATTGTCTTGTTATGTGCAGGAGGTTTTTATGGATGAAGTGTAGTGGGGTTATTAATATGTTTCGCAGCTACACGAGGGTACTTAATGTGGGTTCTTTAGAATGGTCTGTGGTATGAGGTAAGTGCTTGTCCCATAACGAGCAAGAAGAGTTACATCGGATACTTCACGAGTTTATCAGTGATGTCACTTCCAGAAATCCCTTTCCTCTCATCCTGTGTGATATCGACTGGTTAACAATTAATCGGTAGCAGATTCTTGAAGGGGGGATGCTCTCTCTCGAGCCCAGTCACTTTTCTCTCTTTTACTTTTCCCCATTATTGAGGAAGGAAATTGGGTTGATACTTCCTAGAAGACTACAAATCGAATTTTTTAGGCATCGGGAATAAGCGGTATGAGTAGACGTCATAGAAGATTGTCTGGATGTAGTTACACGTATGTTTCGTGCCTTGGCGTGAATCTATGCACGAGGTTCCTTTTTGTTGGGAACATTGAAATAGACATGTAGTAAACCGCTATGTAAGGGCCAGAGTGCGTGGTAGATATATGTGCAGATGCATCTGCTAAACTGCTTTGTGCTTTCCATGGCCTGTAGCGGCCTTAAAATATTTTAATGTTATTCCGTCGTCATCATCATCCACTGCTACTACAGGGATTAGTCTTACCGGACTATTCAGACTCCAAGGTTCAAACCAGAACTGGTCTTTCCATCTGCTGCATGGTCCACCGTCTCCTGTTTATTAATAGTAGATACAAGTAAATTGTTTATAGACGAGCGCTGTATACAAGAGAAGGAAGCATTCGTCATGCTACTGTTCTAGCTCATAATGATACATTTGCATGGAACATTCTTTTTTCCTCCTCTTGCTCCCACTTAGGAGCATAGGGCTGATTTTTCAGTTTCATTGATCAATTTACAGACGGTAGGACTCCTTGGACGGGTGATCAGCTCGTCGCAAGGCCTCTGCCTAAACACAGGACAACACAAACAGAATAAACGCATACACACACACCAAACATCTATGCCTTGTGTGGGATTCGAACGCACGATCCCTGCTTCCGAACGAGCGAAGACAGTACACGCCTTAGACCGCTCAGCTACCGTGACCGGCGTATGGAACATTAGTGGAATGATAACTGGCATTTAATCGACTGAGGTGTGTACTGTTTTGGGCCCTCTAATAGTATCCTCGTGAGCTCCCTGTTCCGAGCCTTCCATCATGTACGTAGATCAGGTAGTAAGCAGTAGGGTCGGGCCCGACCTAATTTAACTACGAGTAAAAAATTTTCAAATATATACTAACATTGTAGTTTTATAGAATTTCGTCATTTGTGTATTTCTCACGAATCACCTGACGATGGCTTGTCTGGGCCGAAACATGTGAAATAATGAAAACGTTTGTATGGAGGTGACATCCATTTTTATTTGTAAGTAGTAGGTTGCTGTAAAAACAGATTGAAATGGATACTTCGCAATTGCCTGAAACTGGTGTGAAACGCAAAACGTGAACCTGCTGTAGTCTGAAAATGCTGCAAGTCGTAGCAACCTTGCGTAGTCTTGAAACTGCTGTAAAACAAGTTTCGAATACTTCGGAACTGCAATCCGGAGCCGCTGCGAAAGTCACAGCAAGTATTACATAGTAAATCAGTAAGCAAAACTGAAAAAGGTAGGTTTTGAGTAGTCCGAAACTGCTGTGAAACTATCTTACATGATAAGTCTGAAATCTCTGTACAGTTTTATACTATGGTTGCTGAAAGTTCCGTAAATAGTTTAATCGTATGGAATTCGAAACTGCTGTAAAACGCAATAATAATCATAAAATTCTGCAATTTCTGTGAAAGAGCATTAATCTTGTGGAGCAATTAACTGCTGCAAAACTCATCGGTGAGTTCTAGAACTGCCGTAATTCTCCCTGTAGGGTCTGAAAGTAATGTAAAAATCACATAAGAACAAGTGACCATGTACTAAATGGATTTATGTTTTGTTTTGCAGGTGACATCACCCAAAAGGGCTATGAGAAGAAGCGAACGCGACTCCTGGCCCCTTACGTCCCCAAACAGGCGCAAGGTATGAGTAGCCATCTGTTCTGAAATATTATTTATGTTGCATTCCATAACGCCACATGGTAAATATCGAATATCAATATTTTTTCACATATATTTTATTCATTGGCTCCGTTGTTGTTCATGTCTTGAATCACGCTGATTGTAGAGAACTAAGAAAAGTTTGAAACTATCAAGATCATTGGTTTCATTGAATTGGCAAAATATTCGTTCTTCGTTGATTAAGTTTTGCATACGTAAATGAAAATCTCCAATTTAAAAGAATCCTGAATCTATCTTTGAATTCTAAACAGTTATGCCTGAGAAAGCTTGTGCCTTAAATTTGTTGATCTCCCAGTTCAGGCATCAACTTCATACAAGTTTTGATTCATTGTGATCGTGTTTGATCATTACAGTTTTAATAATATACGTATACATTACTATTGGGTTGGTAGGCGTTACTTAAAGCGCACGCCCAAAACTAGTACATACACACACACACACACACACACACACATACATTGACAACGGTTACATACAAAAATACACAGTTTGATTCATAGGACTCAACTTGGGTTGTTGTATGAGCCATACATACGAGGACTCATGCAGTCGTGTGTGTGCATACATACACACATACATACGCACGTATATATGTGTACATTCATACATTCAGACATGCACACACACATACATACACACATACATACACACACACACACATACATACATACATACACGCATGCACACATACATACGTACATACACACATACATACGCACGTATATATGTGTACATTCATACATTCAGACATGCACACACACATACATACACACATACATACACACACACACACATACATACATACATACACGCATGCACACATACACACATACATACACACATACATACGCACGTATATATGTGTACATTCATACATTCACACATACATACATATGGGCAGTGGTTTAATAGACCTGTATGTTGTTTTGTATTTGTCTTTTACCGCTGTTCGAAACATTAACGCTAGAGGCACAATGCTATGACATTTCGTAGAAAAATAAACTGGTATTGGAGTCGTCGGGTTCAGCTCCGAGATTTCGGTGCAGCCCTAATGAAAAGTGTGATGACTCTGTCTAATTCTCGCTCCATCAGCTGTGACACAACGCCATAGGCTGATCTCCTTCAGACGTCACTAACTGAAGGGTCGCGTAGAGACAGTCATTCTGAGGCGATAAATTGGCAGATACGGCAGTGTCGGCTTGAGAAACTTTCCACTTTTTCGGAGATACCATCGTTTTGATGGAGGTAGAATTGCTTCCAAAACGTCCGAAAGATTTATCCGCTCATCAAGGCGCAAGGATCAGAGGAACTGTCTGATTTACTATTATGGAAATTTCAAATTCCACCAAGCGACTTCACGTGTACTGCTGTTTCACACCAGTTAAACGATAAATGAGCAAGTCCGTAGACCCGTAGAGGAATGAGATTGTGTTGGTGTGTGCACGAGCGAGTTACCTCATTTACGCGTCTTTGTAATCACATTTCAGTATATGCTGTCCCCCCCCCCACCGTTTTTGCATATACGCGGTATGTTCACGTCACTTCGCTCCTGGGTCTGACTTACTGTGTGCATCTGACTCGCGTTGGGAGGATTTCGCTCTCTTTAGCGGGACGCACTAAATTATAGTAAGTCAGTATTTTCGTTTTATGTAAATCTTCCAGGATGTTTCGTCCGCATGTCTGGTCCATGAAAAAATTGTCTCGCATGTTTCGTCGGTTGACATTTCGTGCACTCCTTGAACTCCACGACTGTCGGTCCTTCTTATTTTACGCACACTTAATTGTTTCGACCTTCTTTACTTCCGCAATAACCCTGTGTGGGTCTTGGCCTCTTCCACGGTTTCGTAAGACTTATTTTTTTCTGGAGTGGGATCGTTAAAACTTACACCTAACCCCCATCCTGGAGGACCAGAAACGACACTTCGTCTGGTCCATATCCTTTGACCTGTCTGGCAGGGGTGGCACTACCAGGAGCTTACGCTCCCGCCATCATAGCCCTCCGGGACACTGGGGCGGACAAACCTCTCCACGGTAAGACGGCAGTCCTGGAGGAGGAATTGTTTCGACCGCACACTCCTTGTTGTACTTTTATTGTCTTTTTACCAGCATGTCTCCGGCAAAGAAAAATACCTGCTCAGACACCCACCCCACATTTTTAATATTGACTCTACGTGGGAAAGAAAGGTCAGCTTACGAGCTTTAGAACCATGGGAGCTTTTCCAGCGAGGCAGCTGTTTGCTTAAATCAGTGTACACTTGTAAATGGAATCCGCTATTGTAGAAGTCCCAGCCTGATATATTAAGCATTTAGTATTTTAAGAAACGGCACAGGTCGGATTGTGTACGGCGGACAAGAGCATGATCTGCCAAATTTCGAGCTCTGCATCACAGGCACTGCTTTGGTGTCCATTTATTCGAACTCGTGACGAATCACCGGGGTCAACTTCATTTATTTCTTCTAATTGTAAGATTATAAGGATTGTCGGTTTCAGTCCAGGATTAGACCAGAACGGGATCTTTACGAATGTGTAGCAGAGCACTTATTCAGAGCTTATTATCAAATGCTATCCTAAAGGGAATGGGACACCCAGGATAGCTCCGACGGTATAGTGACGGGCTGCACGGCCGGGGTTTGATTACTGATATAGGCGAGATCTTATCTAATCCGCGGCGTCGAGACCGGCTCTGGGGTCAACCCAACCTCCTATCCAGTGGGTACCGGAGGCATTTTCCCCGGGGGTAAAGCGCCCGGGGCATGAAGCTGACCACTCATCACCATTTAGTGCCGAGGTCAAGAATGTTTGAGCTATACCTCCACTCCCCCATATGTCTTCATGGCATCATACTTAGGGACAACTTAGCGGCCTCCGTAGTTTAGAGGTAACGTTCCCACCTCATGACTCGTGGTACGCGGGTTCAAATACCCGGCGGAGGTTGTCGAATTTTTAAGGGCGGAAAAATTCAGGGAACAGGTCTTCCGGGAGGGACTTTAGCTGTGTGTCCCGTGTCGTAACTTTACGGTACGTAAAAGAACCTCATATCCCCAAAGGGGGTCACTGAGCCAAATTCCAGGACGTTTCCCGCCCAACAATAGCCTCTAAGGCCTCCGATAGATGGGGGAAGCATTATAGACACCGCTAAGCAAGTGACCGAACTCGCTTGCTCGGCGGGACTGATGGTACGCACCATTTATCGGTAGGGTAAAGAGACTGGTAGAATATCATAGAGGGAAGCACAATAGATCAAACTGGTCGCGGTGCATGGGGAAACCCGCCCTCTCTAACTAACTAACTAACTAACTAACTAACTAGGGACAACTTTGCCTTACCTTAAAAGGGAATCATTGAATCTATGAAACTAATGGTAAACGTACACAGAGATATTTGTATTGATTTCAAGACGATAAATACTTCCTAAATTACGAGTATATTTCTTTTGTTTAAGGAAGATGGCTCGAGTGTATATATGTATATGTAATTGCCGTGGACGTCTACTCAGCTTCTAACAGAAATGAGTACCAGGAATCTTTCTGGGAGTAAGGCGCGTAAGGCTGAGCTCACCGTCATATGTAAGCCGATTGTCTAGAAAATGCTGCAGACTCGACATCTCACAAACCTGGCCTCCACGGTCTGTTATGGGGATATACCACGTCTATATATATATATATATAAAGCTAAAGTCGTCCCTGTGCCGGTCACGGTAGCCGAGCGTTCTAAGGCATGTACTGTCTTCGCTCGCTTGGAAACCGGGATCGTGGGTTCGAATCCCACCCAGGGCATGGATGTTTAGTTTGTGTGTGCATTTTTCTGTGTTTGTGTACAGGTAGAGACCTTGCGACGAGCTGATCACCCGCCCAAGGAGTCCTACCGAATGTGTAAGATCTGAAAAAACCGAAGTGAACGGAGAAGTTCATGGAGGTAGGCCTAGGCCCACTGGGGCTGTAGTGCCAAGGGAAAAAAAGTTGTCCCTGTGCTTAACTAATTAAGCACTACACCATGAAGATCTATGGTGGAATGAATATATAGATCCACGTTTTCTTGATCCCGCCACTAGTTGGAGGTAAGTGGTCAGCTTCACGCCCTGGCCGCTTTGCCCCTAGGTGAAAGAGCTCCCGCTACCCATTGGATGAGAGGTTGGGTGAACCTCAGAGCCGGTCTGGACGACATGGGTAAGTGAAAATTCTTGCCCCCACCATGACTCGAACTCCGACCCCTTAGTCGTCCAGCCCGTAGCCAGTCGCTATACCGACTGCGCTATCTCGGCTCCTTTTTGTGTGTATATAAGTGTGTGTGTGTATATATATATATATATATATATTCTCTGAGATCAGATCCTATATGAAATTTGTACGAAAGGCTCCAGGTAACAAAATGTGAAGTAAAGAAGTCGGAAGATATTCCTGTGCTTAATTAAGCGCCAACCGTGGCTCCCGTTCCACACATCATAAAGTCGGCACCAGATGGAATTGAATGGTCCCATTTAATGCCCGGGCCCCTTATATAAGAGCCTTGTGTACCCATTGAATAGGAGGCTGTGTAGCTGATGTGGAAGCGTTGGAAAAGAGAAAATCTCTTACCTCTACCGATATTCGAACCATGGATGTTCGGCCCGTTGCGAGTCAGTATACTGACAGATCTATGCTTTAATGTTGAAAATTATGTTCCAGGTGTTACACCTTACGTTATAAACAGACATTGGTGGTTTCTGAGTTGTGTTCAGTTGGAAACTTTCTTTGCTGTAACCTCACGAAGACAAGTGGGGCTTGGGGAGCAAGACCCTGATTTAATCAAAACGTAACATTCTACACAGATAAGGTACAGTATCTTATTAACCGAGACTGGACAGAACCGAACGGCAGTTGGTGGCGGAATATATCCAGAAGACATAGTTTTTATATTACAACTGCTATTTTATCTACAATTAATTTGTTCAGAGTCATTCAAGGTTACACTTGGCATGACAG